CGAGTCAGGAGAGGTCTGCTGCACCATATGGGTCACCTCCCTGGTCAGCCGGGGAATCAAACTCATGCTGCAGTGGCTGCGCACAGCTTCATAGGTTGCGTCTTAACTCCTTCCACCACCAGGGAGGCCCCTCATTCCCCTCTCTTTGTCATGTCCACTCAACAAACACTTAGTAAGCACCTGTTGTGTACCAGCCATAGTGACTGGCATGGGAACAAAAAATGAGTGACACATGGAACCTACCTTTCAGGAGCACATCGTTACTGAGAGCATGACAAAAATCATAGTGTAGAATAAACATCCAGTACCATGGGCACAAGGAGAAGAGACACTGTCTATGAGAAGCCCTCCTTCTCTGTTAAGCCCTGCCCATCCTGAGGCTTCTGCTTTCACCCTGTGTAGAAGCAGGGCAGTGTCTCTATAAACTATACGGTAGTCCCATCTTGCTTCCATATAAAACTGTTCAGTGATTTCCCACAGCCTGTGGAGTAAAGCCCCTAAGTTTGGCATGCAAGACTCATTATCTGAGAGTATAATGTAATGGTTTGAAATTTGGACTCTTCAGTCAACCAAAGTTTTAGTCCCTCAGTTTCTTCATTTATAAAATGGGGCCCATATATCAACTCTATAATTATTATGAAGATTAAATGAGTCGATAGGATGGTCCATTGCATATGAAAAATATTCAGCTCTTATTGGCAATTATTGTTGTGAGATTTTATTCATTTTCTTTTTGGTCAAGAAAATGTGTCAAGAAACTTAAATCCCTAATTATCTTTTATTGTGTAGCTTGACCCATTTTAACGCATTGTCACATTAGTTCTCTCTAGAATTATTTTGTTCTGCTGTGGGGCAGCATACACTGTATCTGTATCTGTACTGCTACGATACTTACTGTATTGGGTATGGTAGCCAGCTATCCCAGTTTGCCTGGACTTACAAGCTTTCCACAATGTACAACTTTTCATGCTAAAATCGGGAAAGTCCTGTGCAAGTTGAACACGCTTATGCACTCACATTTCAGATTTGCTTTCTATTTAACTCTTATTGGTCTGGAACTTAACTTTCAAGAAAGCTGGCTTTGACTTTTTCACAACTTTTTATTTATTGTCTAGAAATTACAAGGTCGTAGCCCATATCTTTCTTTGAGGTTTCCTAAGATTGCCTCAATTTTTATTTTATTTTATTCTATTTTCATATTCCCCATACAATTGCAACCCCCTTATTTTGACCCCAAGCCCTCCTTTCCCCGCCCCCCACACCCCGCATAGACTATCTCTGGTTCATAGTTGTTTGTTGATTTTGATATTTTCTTTCTTATAGTTATTCTTTTTCCTGGTCCCTTATTTAAGTTTTCTAGATTCCTGCTAGGAGTGAGACCATCCGGTATTTTTCTTTTTCTTACTGGCTTATTTCACTGAGCATGATCCCTTCCAGCTCCATCCATGTTGCTGCAAATTGCATGTGTTTATCTTTTTTGAATGCTGAGTAATATTCCATGGTATATATGTACCACATCTTCTTGATCCAGTCATCTATTTTTGGGCATTTGGGTTGTTTCCAAAGCTTAGCTATTGTAAACAGTGCTGCTATAAACATAGGGGTGCAGGTGCTCTTTGGAATTGATGTTTCTGTGTCCTTTGGGTAAATACCTAGGAGTGGAATTGCTGGATCATATGGAAGCTCTATGTTTAATATTTAATAGGTCAAGAAATCTCCACACAGCTCTCCATGGTGGCTGGACCAGTTTGCACTCCCACCAGCAGTGCAGGAGAGTTCCTTTTTCTCCACAACCTTGCCAACATTTGTTGTTGCTAGTTTTTTTAATATGTGCCATTCTCACTGGTGTGAGATGGTATCTCATTGTAGTTTTGATTTGCATTTCCCTGATTACAGGTGATGTTGAACATTTTTTCATATGCCTGTTGGCCATTAGCATTTCCTCTTCAGAGAAGTTTCTTCTTAGCTCTTCTGAGCATTTTTTGACTGGATTATTTTCTTTGTTTTTGTTGAGTCTCTTCAGCTCTTTGTAGATTTTTGTGATCAGTCCTTTATCATTAGTGTTGTGTGCAAAAATGTTCTCCCAGTTGGTGGGGTTTCTCTTTGTTTTTATTATTGTCTCTTTTGCTGTGCAGAAGCTCTTTAATTTGATGTAGTCCCAGCTGTTGATCTTTGCCTTCACTATCACTGCTTTGGGTGATGTGTCTGTAAAGATGTCCTTGATGTGCATATCATGTAGTGTTTCGCCTATATTTCCTTCTATGTATTTTATGGTTTCAGGTCTTATGTCTAGTTCTTTAATCCATTTTTGAGTTGGTTTTTGTGCATGGTGTGAGGTAGTAGTCAAGCTTCATTCTTTTGCATGTAGCGACCCAGTTTTCCCAGCACCATTTATTGAACAAACTTTCTTTGCTCCAATGCATATTCTTTGCTCCTTTGTCAAATATTAGTTGACCATTAATCTGTGGGTTTATTTCTGGATTTTCTATTTCATTCCATTGGTCTGTGTGTCTGTTCTTGTGCCAATACCATGCAGTTTTGATGATTATGGCTTTGTAGTATAGTTTGAAGTCTGGGTGTGTGATGCCTCCATTCCCTTCTTTTTTTTTTCAGGAGAGCTTTGAGATTGCCTCAATTTTAAGGTGCAGAATTTAGGGAATTGCTGAAAAAAGTTCTCCCATCTGCTCTAGGTATATTTACTAGAAACTGTGCACATGAGTCTTCTTTAACCTGGTCAACAGCCCCAGAGGTCTGCTCCTGAGCCTGTCATTTCTCACCACTCCCGGTATTTCCATCATGACTGTATTTCCTTCATTTGCTTTCCAGAATCAGCATACCTTATTTAAGTCAATGGCAAAGCCTTCTTTTTCACACAGGATCATGTTGTCCCATGAATTCCCCAGGGTAAGGGAGGTAGGAGAAGGACACAAAAGATTTTTTCCTCTTCTTCAGCCCCCCTGCCACACCACCCCAGTTTACCAGCATTGGGTCGGTATTTGCCTTCCTTCTGACATTCCATAAGGATCCTATGGAGCCTCCATTAGTAGTCCTTAAAGCCATGAAAAATTTGCTGAAGACCTGCCCATCTTTGCAATCAAGAGCCCTCAGAACTTCCACCCTAGTGTGTTTATTTCCCTGGACTGCCAAAACAAAGTACCACAGCGTGGGTGGCCCAAACAACAGGCAGTTATTGTCTCACAGTTCTGCAGGTTAGAAGTCAGGACAAGGTGTCAGCAGGGTGAGTTCTTTCTGAAGGGCTTAAGGGAGAATCTGCTCCCTGATCCTCTCTTCACTTCCTATGGCTTGAAAGCACTTGGCTTGTAGATACAGCTTCTGATCTCTGCCTTTATCTTCACATGGTGTTCTTCCTGGCATGCTCCCATTTTTCACATTGTGTTCTTTTTGTGAGGATACCATTCATATGCGATTAGGAGTCCACCCTATTCCAGTATAACTTGAGCTTAGCTAATTATTTGATCTTAACTAATTACATCTGTAATGTCTTGGCTTCCAAATAAGGTCACATTATGAGATACTGGGTGTTAGGACTTTAATAAGAGAATTTAGGAGGGACGAAATCCATTCCTTAACAACCAGGTCTTCAGGTAAGTAAAAAAGAAAGAAAAAAGAAACTGCACAGGGACCAGACGTCATTTCTCCCTGGGCAGAGTAAAGTGCCATGCAGTCATTGCTCATAAATTCATTCCATTTCTCCACTCACCTCTCTGCACTGATGTGCCTATCAATAAACATTCTCAACAGTAACCACTTGCTTACCACTCTATAGGTGCAACTCTAAGGATATTAAAGAAATATGATATAGACCTGGGTCACCAGCTCTAAATCAGGACTATAGGAGATTTCTTTAAAGGAAAGCCTGTTGGGGCCTCCCCAGTGGCGCAGCAGTTGAACGCTGGGTTGCGAAGCTGCCCGCAGCCTGCGCAGCGCCGGTTCGATCCCCAACTGCTCCCCGGCCACCGGAGGAGGGTCCCACATGGTGCGCAGACCTCTCCTGCCACCCGCTGCTCCCCTCAGCAGTGTACTTCGGTCCTTCTGCCTGATCTGCTCCCTGCTCTGGCTCTGGTGAATTCTTTCACCCTTCCACGTTTCTGACTATACCCAGTGCTTGTATAAATAAATAAATAAATCTTTAAAAAAAAAAAAAAAAGGAAAACCTGTTGAAGAAAAGTTATGTCCATGGCATAAATGCAATAAATATTAAAAGGCAACAATTCCCATCCTGATGAATAATAATTACAAATTGGTTGCTTTTTAAAATGCTCTGGGGAATACCATGGTGTGTACATTGTGAGTGCGAATGAGTGTATGTGCATACAGTAGCTTATGATAAACAAAATCACCAGACTCCTCCCCAGCTTTCCTACAAACATTGAGCCATCACTGGGTGCACAGGGAATAGCCTGCATCTTCTCATTCTGGCTGTGACCACTTTCTTCTGTCTGCTTCCTAGAGTTGCTGACCCCCTCCCCTCCAAAGAGACAGCTCTGTTCCAAAAGATAAACACCAGTAGTTACAGGAAACTTGGTGAAAAGTCAAACAAGTCTCCCAGTATGTTTCCCTGGTCTCCTCACATAGATACTCAATCTTTGTGGATGAGGTATTTGACTCTGACAGATACAGCCTGAGATGTGAGAGCCATGATGCCTCTTTGTAAGGGTTGGGGGTTGGGGCTCAGATAGGGAATGGAGGTTCTCACATTCTCCTTGCTACTTTCAAGGCACTCTGTGCCTCTGAGAAATCTCAGGGATGGAGGCACACCTAGGCAGTGCCCGCTTGTGCAGAGCAGCCAGGCAGGCTGCTAGCTTGCTGAGAGGCGGCAGAAGAGCTCAGCACACAGCTCCTCTCTGCCAGATCAGGGAGCTGTCTGCTCTACACCCACACCCTCAGCTCCAGCTCCGGGTAGCCCGTGTGGGCAGGGGGAAGGCGCGAAGCTCAGTACGTGACTGCGATTGACTTTCCTTCATTGTTTTTGTCGGCAGAATACGTACACCAATGCGGACAAGCTCCTAGAAGCAGCAGAGCAGCTGGCTCAGACTGGGGAATGTGACCCTGAGGAGATCTACAAGGCAGCTCGACACCTGGAGGTCCGCATCCAAGACTTTGTGCGTAGGGTGGAGCAGCGGAAACTTCTCCTGGACATGTCTGTCTCCTTCCACACACACACCAAAGAGGTAAGAGCAGCTAGTGGAGCTAGAACTTTGATTGGGCAGATTTCTACTGACAAGTTGAGTTAGTTTCCTATTAAAAGCTGGATACCGGATACTTAGGGGGTGACTAGCCACTTAATATTGATGATATTAACAGTTTGTTCCTTATAATCTCTGTTTAGGTCTCCATAAATGAGACAAAATTTTCTCCTCTCGTGAGGAGGGGGCTGTAGAGGCAGGTGCTTTGGGGAGTCTGCTAGGGCATTCTCTCTACTCCTGGAGAAATTTGGAAATCCCTGGTATAGAAATAGTCATTGCAAGAGGAAATGCAAGAGAACAGAGGCTCCCTTCCCACCGTACACCCACTTTCTTCTTGGTTGCTGTATTTTTGTCAGAAATCAAGAGTCTTGTAGGACATTATCTTTTCTATTAGTGAGGAATATACAGAGTTTGCAAATGTGGTCTATGTTTTTCTTTTATTTCACTTAGACAATTAAATTTTCTTAATGAGATCTGCCAAAGTGAGTCAGCCCTTACCTGGCCTGGTTGTAGAGTCAATGCCAGTGAAGGAAGCGGGACCGAGGTGCCCACCAGCAGAAAGAAGCCAGCTGGCCTTAAATCTGAACCTGAATCATTCATGAAGTAGAGATGGGAGGATTATGTTACATTGTTGGCAGGGCAGAGGGGCTGTGGTAAGGAGAGTTAGAAACCTGTGATTGCTTTTTATTTCTGATTAATGTGGGGCACTCTGAAATCGCATCAGTGGACAGTAAGGAGGCACATTTAACATCTTCTATAATAACACCCTTGGCAGATGAACTCATTAGGTGGATTCGTGTTTGTGTTCCCCCAGGAATTCATTTTAATGGAGTATTAATTAAAGTTTGATTGCTGCTCAGGAAAAAAAAATCCTTACTTAATTAAGTTGATTTTTGATACTTGAAATGCATTAAGAAGCCTGACTGTTACTACTTTACAGGCTTTTCTGACACTTCGTGGGAATGAATGCAAATCATTGCAGTGCCTATCAGAGTAAAACATGAAGAGATAATGTTTTCTAAACTGAGATTCCCTGGGCAGATGAAGGGCTGGCAAGCTCCCTGAAGCTGGCTCTGCTTCATCTCCATGGGACCACAGCTTCTCTCTGATGATTGTCTGTAAAGCAAGAGGATTAGCTTTAATCCAGGTTTTCCTGCTTGGTTGTCTGCTTGTTTGTGGCTTATTCAATCCTTAATAATGATCTCAGAAAGCAAAGGCATGTGTATTCTCTTTTAATTGTGAGCCTGCAAGTAACGGAATGGAGCATGAATGAACAGGAGTCATGTTTCCTGTGAAGATGATGGAGGTTATGGACAAGCCAGCTCCTATGGAAGTACCACTCCTGAAAGGGTGAAATGGCTTCCTGGAACCCTTTCTAGTTATGAGTGATTCAGGTTCAGATTTAAGCCTGGCTGGCTTTTTCCTGCTAGTGGGCACTTCAGTCCCGCTTCCTTCACTGGCATTGACTCCATAATCAGGCAGGGTAAGGGCCAACTCACTTTGGCAGATCTTTCCTTCTGTAAAAAGGCTAGAAGACTAATTCTAGTCCAGCTTCTGCTGCTACAGAACCAACTGAGTTTGCAAATTAATATGTCTCTATCTTGGGTTGCCTCACCTATAAAATTATGCAGTTAAGCTTGTCTTTATCTGACTCTTAGTTTATTTGCCTTATATTCCACATAATGGTGACACCATCCCTATCTCTTTCTCCTCTGACTTATTTAGCTTAGCATTCTCCCTTCCAGCTCCATCCATGTTGCCACAAATGGCATGAATTTTTCTTTCTTGATTGCTGAGTAATATTCCATTGCGTACATATGCCACATCTTCTTGATCCAGTCATCTGTTTTGAGGCAGTTAGGTTGTTTCTATAACTAAACGACAAGTAGGGGAGGGATAAGAACAAAGAGGAAAGAAAGCACAGTAGACTATGGATGCCTTATGGTGGCAATACCTGATTAGGGTATCCAAATATTGCCTCAATTAAAAATTAATTAAAAGTAATAATAAATAGGGCCTCCCCGGTGGCACAGCGGTTGAGCGCTGGGTTGCGAAGCTGCCCGCGGCCTCTGCGGCACCGGTTCAATCCCCGGCTGCTCCCCGGCCACCGGAGGAGGGTCCCACATGGTGCGCAGACCTCTCCTGCCGCCCGCTGCTCCCCTCAGCAGTGTACTTCGGTCCTTCTGCCTGCTCTGCTCCCCACTCTGGCTCTGGTGAATTCTCTCACCCTCTCTCGCTTCTGACTGTACCCAGTGCATGTATAAACAAAACAACAAACAAACAAACAAATAAATAAAAAATGCCTCTCTAAAAGAAAGAAAAAAAAAAAAGTAATAATAAATAAAAAATAGTAAATAAAATTATTCAGTTGGACTGGATGGCCCTGAGCCCTTTTATGGTTCTAATGTGAGCCCAATATTCCTTTCTTTTTCCTTCTCCCCTTCTTTATTTGATATTAAAATTGATAATAATTAATAGTAATAGTAATTAGCCTTGCAGTAGTACAGATGATTCATCTAGTCTGAGATTTGTTTTATTGTAAACATTCAGTATATATTAGTACAGTTTTTTTAATTGAATACTTATTTAATTGAGTACTATTTGCCAGATACATATTATCTCATGTAATACTCATTATAATCTTATAAATTTTATTAACCATATTTTCAAATGGGGAAACTGAGGCTTAGAAAAGAACTTGTCTGAGGTTATAGAACTTCTCAGTAGTTCAGCAGATTACATAACTGTCTTCCTGAACACTGCGTTTGAGCTTTTAACTGCTACCCCACACTCTATCCTTTTTTTTTCTTGTTTCTCTCCTCTCGTCTGTTCTTCTTCCTTCTTCTTACTCTTTGTTTTCCTCTTTACATTTTCAAATCCCAAAATAGGGACTTGATGGTAGGGCAGATATTAGGTGAAAAATGGAAAGTGTCATCAACGTTCGGTGTGAGCTGAAGTTATTAGCATTGTTTTTCCAGATAGTTCTCAAAACTTGCTAAGAGTTGAGACTTGTTTTCCCACTGAGACTCAGATTATAAAATCACATGAATAATGAAATAATACTAAAGATGCAGGGTGTGGGTGAAGAAAGAGAGGGGAAATGAAAATGTAGTTAGCACCTTCTATATGTTAGGCTAATCAATAGCCATGGTAAATATCATTTTATTCCAATTATACAGATCAGAGAAAATAATAATTTACCCAGGATCTTACAGCTAAGATGTAGTAAGTCGAGGAATTGATCACAATTCCTTCTAACTCCAAAGCCCATGTTTTTTCTCCTTTGCCACACATACTTTCATAAAAAGACCAGAAAGTGGAGACTTGGAAGAGTTTTCTCCATCCGGGAATTTATTCAAGTAGGAGGCTGTGGAAATTAGGTAGTCTCTTTCCTCAGGATCCCAAAATATGAGAGAAATTAGGAGCAGTCCTGCCTGAATGCAAAGAAGTGGGTGATTGTAAAGAACTTTCTACTCAAGAGGTCTACAACTTTCAGATCTATTTATTTTCCAGACTGGAAAGAAAATTATCATTTTGAGTGACTCTAATAGAGGAGGTATTTTAGGGGCTATCCAGTAGGACTTCCATCTGCATGTTTATTCTCCGTTACCTTCCTACTTCCAAAACTAGTCTGCCTGAGGCCCCCTTATGCAGAGGAGAAAGTAAGACATGTGTACATATGTACACACCTAAGTACATTGCACACACGTACGTTCATGTGCATATGAGTATGCACAACCACACATATATGTATATTGCACACACACATGTTAAGTACAGTAAGCTCTTGGATGCTAGAAGGATCTGACTTCCAGATCTAGATCTCAAATAATTGGGCATGCTGTGTGTCTTTGGAAAAATTATTTAATCTCTGTTACTTTGTGATAATTGTTACAATGATTATTACAAAATTGAGTAGTAGTACAAGGTTAACTTTTCTTTTTCTGGTATAAAGCTCCCTCCCAAAAACATCCTTAGAGCATGTCTAAAGTAGTCTTATTAAGAAATGTGAAGATTCAACTAAGGCATCATTTTTCCTTGAAATTCTTCCCTGAGGCTCCCAACTTCCCACCTAGACATGACTAAAGCACTATTTATGTACCTCCAGCAGGGACCACACTGAGCTGGTGGTTTCTTCCTCATTAAACTGGAAGCACTCACATGTAGAGAGCATATGTGGGGTAGATGTGTAAATAATAGATACTATTGTCTCTCTTTACAACTGTGTCTCATATATAGAGATGCTGAATAAATACTGAATAGGTTTACTTGACAATAGGAAGCTAATAGTTTCTCCTACAAAAAAAGAGGGGATGACGTGTGGGCCAAGGGAGAGAGTGAAAAGCCTGTTCAATCATATCTTCTACTCCAATTCTTTTCCTTAAACTATCAGGCCATGTATATAAATAGGGAAACAAGATGAAGAATCTGAATTGCCTATGGTAGCTCTCCCCTAGGACCTGCATACAGGCAGAAATGGATTATCAGGTAGGCAGAAAAGTGAGCATCCCCATATAAGCTCATGAAGGGCTGTGGTTTGATCTTTCTGTATTCCATTTAATACCTCTCAAGACTTTGCCACTTGTGGGTCCTCTTTGATCTGGGTCTATTAACTCTTGACTGTTTCCCCTTGACTCTACAGGAAAACTCACTTTTAACTCGAGGCAGGATTAGTCTCCAAGTCTGCTAGGGAATTTAAGTTGCTGCAGTTATTTTTCTTTCTTAAATAGAGTGGAGAAATGAAAAGATGATATCTGCTCACTTTTGCTTAAGTGGCTTTGGGTAGTACAGGAGTTACTGGTAAATACTGTCATATATCTTTCTTGAAATGTGATCTCTAACTCCTACCTTCTTTTTTCCTTTGCTTCCTTCCTACAACCATATACTGAGTTTTTCCATTATTGCCAATGTATAACAAACTCTTATTGTAGGGTAGAATTTTGAAAGAATTAAAGCCCCCTTTACAGGAGATTTCTGAGCAGGAATTAAACATTCATCTTCATAATGATTTAACCTAAGCTTCTTATGACTCCCCAGGCTGAAGTTCATAATTTTACTTTAGTGCACTTCATACATCAAAATATTTGTTCTTATTGGGACCAGAGAGGAAACTGAAGATATAGAAAAAGATATCTCCTAGCTCATTTCTCCTGCTTTATCCCATGTGCCTACTTTGTGAATTCTTGGAAACCCTGGGAGTCTGGAGGATTAAAACCACCATTTCATGGTGATTTTATTCATAATCTTGAATAACCAGAGGCCATTTAATTATCCCACGTCAGGTGATTCATTAAACAAATCATGATACATCTATATAATGAAATAATAGCATACAGTCATACAAATCACATTGTCAAAGATTATTAATGACATGATTAAGAGCTTGTGGTATAAGACACTAAAACTGTATACCCACGTGACTACATTTTAATCACACATAGAAAGACTAGTAAGAAATATACAAAGTAGTTAAGAATGTTACAGGTGATTTGATTTTCCTTTGCATAATTTTTTTGTCTCATAAGTTCTCTTCAGTGATATTTTCAGTTGGAACTCAGGAAGAATTCCTATAAATGTTATTTTATAAAAACAAAACCATTCATCCCCACTAGAGAGAGGAGCTACTTGATAAAGAGAGGGGACAAACATGTGCCCAGGATCTTTTTAAACATCCAGAGTCTCTGCTATTAGTACAAATTTTGCTGAAATTTCAAATATCTTCTTTTTGCCTGGGGATAAAAGGGCAGCTGGCTATTTGCTTGTCTGGAAAATTAAGGAGGCTGTAGGGAGAAGTATTAACAAATCCTTGTTTTTTTGGTCCAGGAAAAAGGCATTTGTAGCAAGTGTCATCTACTCAGCAGAGATTGTCCAGACAGAATTCTTTTTCCTTGGTGTGTTTCCATGGAAATGCTGAAATTTGCTGGGCTTTCAAAATATCCGTTTTTAGATATTTTTCCAGTAAAAAAGAGTCGAATTTACCAAAGAATGTGGCCAAGATAATCAGCCACAGCTGTTTATTAGACAGCTTAATTAAATGCCCACTTCAATTTGTTTTTAACTTGCAAAATCCTTTTCCCCACTATTTCCTGCTCAAATAGATGAACATACTACAAGCACCATAGATGTTCCCTGTACACATGTTCCTCTACACTTGCTGTAGAACCAAAACTAAATCAGCCTTCAAAAGGAATATTGACTTCAAAAGAAAAACAGTTCAGCCTTTACTTCAACCACCAAACAGTCATGATGTGTATTTGAGAAATTAAAACTGGTAGTCACTGCTAAAGAAAAATGATCACTTCAAAATGAGGGAGGAGGCAGTTCATCCAGTGGAATTGGTACTCCTTTCAACATCTCTAGGGGTCAATGAGTTGTATCAACACAGTAACTGCCAGAGCTATGCAAATTAGCCCATTAGCTGAGAAGATGATGGAGTAAAATTAGCTTTTTTCTTAGCCACTCATCCATTAGCCTTATTATCTCTGCAAACTGTCCATTTCCCCCCTGGTCCTTCTTTCCTACTTTCTTCAGCAGCACTTTTCTTGGGTTTCCCCACTATCTCACCAGGACAGCTTTGTGGACTGGGCCCTCCAGCAATCAGTGATTTCACTATTATTTGTAGAGCATTGAAAGTCTCCCTTAACTCTTCTCCTGATAAGGGCCTAGAAATTCCCAAAATAGGCCCATTCTTTTGGGAATAGGCTTTTTTGGCCGTAACAACATGTGTTCCCTGAGAGAAAGAGCATATGAAGCCATCCACATGCATGTTTATAGTCATGCGTTACTTTAGCAGTAGGGATATATTCTGAGAAATGCATCATTAGTGATTTTGTCAGTATGGGAATGTCATAGCGTGAGTTTATACAGTTCTAGATGGTAAGCATATGGAATAGCCTATTGGGAGTCCCATCATCTGTGTGGTCCATTGTTAGCTGAAACATCATTAAGTGATGCACAACTGCATCAACTCCATGAACCAAATAAAAACAGTATGGGTCACAGGATAGGTGCATTTTGATCAAAAGAGAGGGCCTGCAATTGCTGAAACATGAGATCCTTTCTGAGCAAGGGATGAGTTGATGGAGAAGTTGCAAGGCTAATCACATGTTAGAACCCAGGTTAGCAGAGAAGGAAGATTACCCTTGGGGAGACAAACCAAGTTGGATCACTATAGAAAAAATTACATGGTAGCTATTACAAAGGTGCCATAAGAGTGAGTGCTGGTCTTACCCTAACCAGTCTTCTGTCTCAATGCCTGTCCTCCACTGAGATATTGAGTTCATTTTCCTTCTCCTAAATGACCTGCTCCATGCCCAAAATTTTTATCTCTCTCTGTTCCTATCTGTTTTGCTTTCCTTCTTCATTTTAAAAAATATCTAGACTGTCCGTTCTTTAGGCTTTTCCTATTCATTTCAGGACAAAGCTTCCAAGACTGAAGAGAGACCCATATCAATTTTACATGTTGAGAAACCAAATCTAGTATTGACTTTTTACCAGTTTCAAAATGAAGGAGTACTTTAAACTTTCCCTTTGACTCCTAGAGGATGTGGAGATTGCTTGCATCAAAAATATCGTTTAAATATAATAATAGTTAACAATTGCATATATAGTATTTACTATTTGCCAAGCACTATATATATGTATATATCTCACTTCAAATCAGTGCTTGGTATATAATTTCCAGTGCTTTTTCTGTTCGAAACACTATATTTAGCTCTATTAAAGTTGTCTGACCAGTAATAATCATCCTGATTGCCTTTCTCCATCTTCTTGACTCTTGTGGGGAAATGCCTCATATTTATGTGAGATAAGTTTTATCTTTAGCATTAAAATTCCTAACCAACCCAGCAAACCTGAAAAGAACAAAATAATTTAGCATAACACATATTTTTAAAATTAATCTTCACTTGGTTCCTTTTTTTTTTTTTTTTTGTGGGACCCTCGCCGGTGACCAGGGAACAAATGGCACTGCAGAGGCTGCAGGCAGCCTTGCAACCCAGCACTCAACCACTGCGCCACCAGAGGAGGCCCTTCACTTGGTTCTTTTTATACATGACATTCTTTTTTTTATATTTGCAAAATCATTTCTAGGAATGATGTCTGGCTGCCTGGAGGAAGTATTCGGAGCCCTTCTTTGTGAACGATGAAATAATGTTTGTCCATCACCAACCTCCTATTCTTCCCAGATCGCTCAGAGATGAGCGGTCTCTCTGCTCTAAGATTAATTTCCCCAAATGAGAGGGAAGTAAAGTCAAAGCTAGCTTTTGTCTTTTGGAATGTCAGTGATAATGGAGTAAACTTAGCAGAGAAGAGTAATGAATACAAATATAAAAACACAAACTGACCCATAGATGTGCTGATAAAGACAGTCTGATATTGCACTGCCTGGTTGAGAATAAGTTTGATCCCCATTCAACCTCCTTGTCCTTGCCCCAGCCCTGGCCTCTCCCCTCTGCCCTGAGTGGAGTCTCTGCTCTCTCCCACACAGTTGTGGACATGGATGGAAGACCTTCAGAAGGAGATGCTGGAGGATGTTTGTGCAGACTCAGTGGATGCTGTCCAGGAACTGATCAAGCAGTTCCAGCAGCAGCAGACCGCTACTCTGGACGCCACACTCAACGTCATCAAGGAAGGCGAAGACCTTATCCAGCAGCTCAGGTCAGCGCCTCCCTCCCTGGGGGAGCCCAGCGAGGCCAGGTCAGCATGGGCAGTGCTTTCCAGTGGGAAATGCCTCGGACTAGATGCGAGATAAGTCATGTCCCAGTCTTGGCTCAGTTATAGCCAATTATGTGGTCTCGTGTGAGCTTTAGTTTCTCCATCTGCCAGATATAAAAATGCCTGCATATGCATCATGAGTTAGAGTAAAATATTAAACAGAAAAGTTCCAGTGTTCCAAAGTGTAATTTATTGTTTAAGATGTTATTCAACAACCAATAAGTAACATAAATACAACAAGTAAATTAGCAACAATCAAAAGAATGAAATAACATCTTTGTTAAGAACAATGGCATATTTGGTCATGTGGAGAAATAGCCATTAAGAAATATAATGTTATTTGGCTGATCTTAGGCTGAACTCTTAACTCCAGTGATCCAGTCAGCAAAATATGGCCCAGAATGGTTGGCTTTCACCCCAGAAGAATGTAGAGCATATGTGTCTTACTCTGCTCTCCATTACCCACTTGTGACCTTTCTGCTATCCTTTACTGCCCAGAAAATAAAGCTTCTTTGTCAACCTAAGCAAACTTAACTAGAAAGAAAAAAAAAAATCCTGTCTAAAATCTTATATTCATTTAGACTCATCCACACCATTGCCTCCTTTCTCTGTCATCAATATCTAGTTTCCTGTCCCTGTCAAGGGCACTGGTTTCTCAGATAAACTGTCAGGAACCTTCAGCAACTAGCCCTGCTCCCAGGTGCTGTATAAATAGGATTTGATGGTGCTAATGATGTCTGCCTGCAGGGACGTGTTCCTATCCCAAAATCACTGAGTGCTGGGACCATTGCCAGCTCTGGAGACAAATAATCTCCTCAAGTCCCAGGCCAACACTGGGGCCTGAGGGAATTACTTCAATTGGAGAGGGCTCCCCTCCCCATATCAGTTGTCTAATTAAATAAGCAATGAGAATTTACCTTTGACAGAAAGGTAAATTTCTCTTGGAAATTAATCATTTGTATTCCAAACATGCTCATGAGATGTTCTGAGTCCTCCTGTTGCATACTAACAAGATAGTTTCTTCCCTTCTTCCCCCACTTCGTTTTTATGAATATATACTACGTTGTAATTTTGTCTGCCTACCTAGGAAACTCCACTGTTATTTACTTCTGAAGAAAATTCCATATAGTGGGCAATCATTTATCCCCTCTGGGCCTCAGCTGCTTCATCTATGTAATTAAGGGGTTCAGTCTAGGAACTCTGTCAGCTCTGGAATTTTGTGACAGCTTTGTGTTTTCTCTACATGTACTTTTCCCAAGCTTGGCTGACTGTGTGTCTGTCAAGGAGGCTGTGGGTGTTGGGTCTACAGAGATACCACTTGAACTTAACAACTGCCAACTTTGCACACAGCCTAAGGGCTGGAGGCTACTCAGTAATGATGAAGGCCAAGATGTGGCTGATACCTGTTCTAGAAGTTTGTTCATGGATTTTAGAAAGGACCATAGGTGTGTGATCAAGAACTGCTGCTAACCATTCATTACTCCTCTGAGCTAACTCTAGTCCAGCTTCTGCTCCCCAATCTCCAGCCCCTGCCCGGATATTAAGACCAAAGGAAAAAAAAGAAAGGAGTAAATGATGCCTAGGGCATTGTCAGGATGCCACATACACACCAGAGCACACATCTTCTCTAGCTTTCCATGGCTTTTCTCACACTCACCTCTGTAGTACCTGAGATGGTTTTTACATCATTTCTATGATTACTAGTGAGTGTGGCACTGCCATACTCACTTCTGGAACTGTGAGGGAAATATGGAGAGTCAGAAAGAGCAATCATGTCCTTCCTGAAGCAGAGTTCTCAACCAATGCATAATGCAGAGCATGAAGTTATCTCATATGTTCTTTTCATGATGGGGGGTGTCATGCAATGGTGAGATTTTATGCCCAGATAGGCCAGGGTGAGAGGTAGAAATTGGGAGAGTTTCTGAACAAACTGAGCTTATGCTCCTTTCAGAATAGTGTGAGCTCAGCCACCATTACTCCAGAGACAAACAGGCCAAAAGGACTAGATGTCAGAAAGCCTACTGATCGGAAAATAATGGATCTTCCTCCTGTCTTCTGACTTCTTAAATTGTATGAGAAACTAATATAATGAATGTGCCCATTTTTTACATGTTTTAGGGCTCTAACTTACTCAAGCCCCCTCTGAAAACTAAAATTCTTTACCTCCATCATTTTCCTACTATAGTCATCTCTTTGGAGGTCTTCACCACCTCCTTACTCCTCTGTGCAGGTCAATATGTTTATCTCTTGGTTCCCTCTACAGTGTGTTGCCTCCCCCTGCTACTTTTATATAGACTCTGTGCTCAGAAAGCACACCCTTGCCATCTACTTGGCTGGGGCCACCTTTTTATTCTGATGCCCAAATCAGAACTGATCCTCCTTGAATCCTTTGTGCTCTAGCCTCTATCTCAGTTGGCCCTGTGCCCCCATCAGCAATTGACTCTTCACTTGTGTCCTTTCTGGATTAATAGTCACTCACATAGTACTTTCCTGCTCAGAGAAATTTCACATGAACTGCCTACTGAAGAGCAAACTGTGAAGTGAACAGGGCAGCAATTATCAAGTGCACTTTACAGGAGGCAGCTGGTACTCAGGGAGGTGGCTTCCTAAGCCACCAGCCCATGTCTATCAGAGCAGGGTCATAATCTAGGTTTGCAGCCTTCAGATCCCACACTTTCCTAAGTGCAGTTAGAAACCTGTTTAATAATGCCAGCCCATAACTTAAGGATGGCATTATAAAGTGGATGAATAATTTTGGCGGCCATGATCTCTTTTTAACAACATTCCTGAGAGGTAAAACTAGGAAGAGGTTTTTGTCTTCCCCATATGCCTTTAATTTGTGTACTTATATGGTGTGGTATGCCTATATGTGTATATGTATTACAACTATATATATTAGAAAAAAATATATATATGTTTGCATGGAACTCATTGCATTTCTTTAATATATTATGCTTTGTAGAACCCTTCCCATATGTTATTTCATTTGATCCCTTTCACAATTCTCTCTGAAGAAAAGGAGAGCAGGCAGTCTCAGAGCTACAATACTGTGAACCCCAATGAGGAGATGTGTATCTTTGGTTGGCCTACTGGCAGTTTGTGCCAGACCGGCAGGTGTTTGATCCATGTTTGTCGATTGAATGACTCATCCAAGTCCCATCCACTTTGCTCAGATGAGGAAGGCACTCTGTCCTCTATCACTTCTAACATGGCAAGGCCTCTGTTTTTTTCCTCCCGCTCTGCCACAGGGACTCCGCTGTGTCCAACAACAAGACACCCCACAGTAGCTCCATCAGCCACATCGAGTCGGTCCTGCAGCAGCTCGATGATGCCCAGGTACAGATGGAGGAGCTGTTCCATGAGCGGAAGATCAAGCTGGACATCTTCCTGCAGCTGCGCATCTTTGAGCAGTATACCATTGAGGTGAGGTGGGAGGGGATGAGGAATGGTGGGAAGTAGAGGGACTTTGAGTCAGGGAGAATGCTGGAGAGGACTGCAGAGCATATGGCCTGAGACTGGGACAAGAGTCTGGGGCAGTAGCCTGAGGGAATCAGAGGGGATTATACATCAAAGATAGATTTTTGATATCAACAAATTCATATTCCGCCATGTTCTATTCCTTCTGGTCCTTCTTACCCCCATTGCCAAACAGAGCCCCTCTCTTTTGCTTTGTCGGCAGATTACTTCCTTGAGCAGGGTTTCGTTGGTATGCTTTGAGCTCTGCAATTTGGTTCCTGAAATACCATGGAGGTAGAGGATTCTACAGTTTCATGAAGAAGTTGGTGTTAGCATTAGGTGGGCTCCTCTACTGATGTCTACACATCAGGGATTAGATGAAATCACACAGCAGTGAGCAAATCAGAAGCTGCAGAGAGGAGGAACTGTACCCTCAGTTTGTTTGCTTATTTAGAAAGTAAGTGTGTTTCTAAAGTCACTTGGTGGTTCATCTCACAGACTCCATGGTTCTTTTTTGGAAGGTCAGAATAAAATATTTATGTTCTCTTTGTGGTACCTATTAATAATATCTACCCCCTCATAATAGCTACTTTATATTTTCCACTTTGAAACAGTAACTGAAAACAGGCCAGTTGGATTCCTGGGGTGTGAAGAGTATCCAGCATCTAAGGGACTTTGTCTTTCTCAGAAGTGACAAAGTGTTAAATTAAAGGCACTATATACTCTTTACTCCAGGTTGGTATAGGATGAGGGGGAAAAAATTCTCTAGCCATCATTTATTAAAGTTTTTTTTTGCATTCTAATTATCTCCTTGGAGTTGTGGCTTCTGGGTTGTTGGGACTGATCTACCCAAGAATATCTGTGGAAACTTCTGTGAAACTGGATTGGAAGCAAAATGATTTTTGTATGTAATATTGAAAGCTCCACTATCCCAATTACAATTCTATACTGGACCAGAAAACTGTCCTGGTAATAGATGTCCTTTTTTTCAACCATGTGTCCAAAAATGTTTGTATTGAGATTTTGAAACATAAAAGAAAAGCAGTTCTAATAGTAGTCCTCTTCCTATCCCTTACTCTCTTATAATCTTTTTCATATAAACACATACTACCCCAGACTACCTAGAAAACCACTGTAAGTTCTTGTTCAGAGATTCATGTTCTAAAAGGTGCTTTCTGGACAGTTTCTGGAACAGAGGAATAGGTGAGTCTTTAAATCTAGATCTTAATTATCCTTCCAACTTATTCTATAACTTTAGGTCAATTTTTTTTATTCTTTTCATTTATAATTTACTTTCAATCTGTACTCAAAAGGTCTTCAAGTGGCAAGTGATATTAAGCTACATTGAAAGAAAAATTAAATGCCAGTGGAAAATTAGAAACGTTGGCATGTAGAGAAGAGTGAGTGCACTGAACTTCATAAAGGTGGGGCAACAAAGGTCATAGAGATAGGAAAGGGGGTGTGAGTACTTATTCACTAGTAATTGGGAGTGAGACTCACAAAAATAGAGGCTTGTAGTGGTTTAGGCCCCAGTACCCCACAGTCCTTCCTCAGCTCTGTGTCGCCCAATGAAAGTGACTGCATGCCTGGGGAATTTATGTTAGCAGGTGTGGTGATTTTGCTGCTGAAGTCTTTATTTACTCTCCTGTCATTCCAGACCCATTTCAAAAAATGCCTAAGTGGAAGGAAATAATCTGAGGGTTTCGATGATTGAGTTTTATTTGATTAGGTGGATGTGATTTTGGGGTCAGTGTTGCCAGTTTCCTTCTAGAATGGGTCACTTAGCTGCACCCCTGACGTTAGCTAGAGACATCACTGCAGTGTATTTGCCTGCACTTATTCAGGGAAAATTCATTTTCAGTCTTGAAAAACAACCCAAAGCATATGCAAAAACACCGTTAAAGAATAGTTGAGTGTAAATCAAATTGGCTCCTATTTAAATGTTGCAGTAGAGGAGCTTGACACTTAAATTGTAGGATTGCATTCTTCATACTTTGTATATATAAAAATTCCCCCTCCTGTTATGAGTACTGGACAAGAACTTGGACAGCTTGATGTGCAGTTCAGCAAAAGTAGAAAAATAGTGTGATGATTGAATAAAATGAGGGAGATGGAAATTTGTTGGAAATGGAAATTTGTTTCTGTACCCTCTTGTTTAGGCAGTGAAATCCAGGTCTTAGAAGGGGTCTTGTTCCCCATACTGGGTGTGATCCAAAACTTGGGAATATATTGTGTTTCATCTTAGAGGAAATTCTGCCAAACCTATGGAAAAGTTCTGTTTCAAGTCAGATTGGCAGAAGTTTTTTTTGAGGATGGTGAGATTGTTTCAAATACCAGCCAGTGTTTCACTGTGGGGACAAGAAAGCAAATTTCCAGAGAAGATCAGTGTGAAACTGGGGGTGGCTTCCTTAATAAGAGACAAGTTGGATCTGATATAAGCCAGGATAGGGCCTGTTATTGCAAGATCTACAGTTGTGGTCTCCTTCCCGAAAGGAAGGCATTTAATGGGCATACTCAGAATTCTTGGGGATTACTGAAAACCCGAGCAGGCCTCTCCCCTGACATCTGGGGAATCTAAGTGTGAATACTTAGTCCTATCACTTATGACTAAGATGGGATAATTAACTCAAAAATTAGATAATTCATGAGTTACTGCACCATTTTCCTTTATTCAAAATAATGGTATATGTGGCTACCACCTAGGATGAGGTCATAGGACACCCCCACGAAGAGTGAAGCTTGTCCCAAATGTTTAAACCAGGACTGCATTCCGGACATACCTTGTTAGACTCCATGAAGATTAGACAAAGTGACCCAAACTGGAACATGATGTTCTATAAAGTTTTGGGAGAATTTTTTCCTGTGGGCTCAGCGTCCCTCCATGAAAGACATTATACATGAAGTGGTTATGATAGATGAGACACTTCACCAAAGGTGAATAATATTTATTTTCTGGTAATAAGAATATGGGTGATTTTTTTTGTTTGTTTTTGATGCTTCCATGCATTTCAACTTTTCTACATTTAAAATGACCAGAAAGAAATTAAAAGTATTTTTAGAAATGAGAATAGGTCAGTGGTCTTCAGACTCTTGGTTGGACAACCTTTTGATATTTTTGAACTTGCAATCCCCTATATGTATATGTATATTAGTTTATAAATTAGATGTTATACTATTATTGAAAAATGATATCAAAACTCAGTATGCCCTTAGGTAGTTCAGCTTTTTCATTAGAAGTTGTGGTTCCATATTTCAAATAGTCTTCTCTGTAATTTCCAATTATTTTTTTGGCCTGGTTTCTTGACAGATCTGATTAGATTGTCATTATTTCTTTGCCCCATAGTGTGGCTGACAAAATATTCCAAGTTCTCATGATTTCATGATTAGTACTATCATCAAAATACAGTTTATTTGCAGGAAGGTTGTTATGGCCTGTATCTTTTTGTGAAGGTAAGATTAATTAAACCTAGATAATAGGTAAATTCACTTAATTAGGGACAAGAAAAGAGCAATAATATGAAATTTTCTGGAAGCAACTGAACAAATAAGGCATAGTCAGCCCCTCTACATTGTGACACACCCATCTTCCCAGAGGCATCCTGTCCTCCCACACCATCTGCCATGTGTCTGGAGTGAGACTAGAGTGAAAGTCTAGGGGAACTGCATTTACTTTTTTATTTATTTTATAAAACATGTGTATATATAACATATACACATATGCATATTTATTTAGAGAGAATGTTTCTCTCTGTTACCAATGGATAATCTTGGGCATCCCCCTATTAGAAAGTACTAGAAATAACTCTAGGAAAGTTTCTCTGTACAACTTTATGAAAAATTAACCACAGTTAGGGACTTTTCTTTCAAATCTTTGACTATACTTACAATCAAAGTTTGCTTAATGTGCCTGAAAATTAATCTGAGTAATTAACCAGAGTCAAGAATGGAATTGTCAACTATGCTTATATGGGGTTCACCTTAAAACAAGTTAGGGCTGAGGCTGAAAAAAAGTGGGCTTCAGGGAGGAAAATTTCACCTAGAAAAGAAAAAGCTGAATATAGCTTATTGGTGGTGTCAACTCTTTGACTGGTTATATGTGTAGGTTTTTAGCATTTTATATTTGAAAGTTATCACCTAATCATTTTTTCATCTGATAGAAACTCAAATCATATTTGCTGAGTACCTACTGCATTCAGAAAACTATACTGGGTGTTGAGGATACAAACAATCTCTGCCATTAGGGTCTAGTTGGGGAAAAATACAGAAACATAGATACTGTACTGTGTGCCATTTCTATGACAGAGAGAGGCTCATGGTTTGATGTGAACCCCAAGGTAGGAACATCTAGTTCAGACAAATCTCATCTCTCCAATGAGAGTATACCTGCAGGACAGGTAAAAGTTGCTAGTGGCCAAAATTTGGCAGGACAGGTAAAAGTTGCTAGCGGCCAAAATTTGGCATCCCTAGAGAATGCCATCCAGCCTGATATCGCCAGAATCCAAAAAGTGGCAGTTGGGAGCTTGAAGAGGGGAAGAAGAAGATTTTAGGATTTCATTATTATGTTAAACCAAAATCTGTACTCTCTTCCCTTTAATCTTAGTTTTCTTCTCTAGAAAAACAGGACAAATCTCTTCTCTTTTTTATCTGGCAGCCTTAAAAATATTTGAAATGGGTTATCATAGCCTCTTGTCCTTTCTCTGAAAAGTGTTGAGATTATGTAAGTTATTTCTGTCATCCCCCTTGACTCTAAAAAATTTGCTGATTGTTTCTCTTTATTGTCAGCCCTTCTGAGTGGTATATATCATACTAATTTATTTACCTCCTTCTTGGTTTCCACATAGCTTATATTCCTAGCCTTTCTCTGTTGAAGGAAATCTAGTTAAATGGCTGGCTTACATATGCACACCTTGAGTGTGGGTCATGTCACACTGGCCCTCTGCCATGCAGCCCAACAGGTCAGACCCTTG